AAAAATGTTGAACAACCTATTTGCCTTTAGTAAATCAACCCAACTGGCTCTTTGTACTGCTGATTCCTTTCACATTTTGGTCCTGATGTTCAGGAATTGCATGAGGCAAATATCAGTTCAGATTAAAGTACTTTCATTGCTTGCATTAAAAAATACATTTAATTATGTATTTATGACAGAGCTGCATTAATCCATTTGTTTTGATTCTCAAATAATCAAATGCATCAGTATAAGAAAAAATATAATTTTATATTTTGTATGACAATATATTCAACTAACAAAAGTATATAAAAATGTCTCAAAGGAAAAGACCCAAATCATGGACCATCCTGTATTGCTGGCTGCTAACAAAGCAAATCGGAAATATGGCAGATGAGTAATGACAGGGAGAAAGAGTAAAGTGCCCAGTGTAAGTCAGTGCAACTACATGGCAAGAAAATGTAATTAGACAATATAACATCTTGGAAGGGAGGTTGCCATATAATCTAACTTGGAGATGCCAAGCTGTCTTCTTGGCAGTGGGTAAACTTGAAAGACAGTCTTCTTTATGCATGAAATCAAGTACAAAAATCTAGCAACTATCATAGTCATCATGTACCTTTTGGATTATTCTTTGTCTGTTCAGTGTATTATTATTCTATTAGTGCTAATTAGTTTGTTTTACCTAATAAGTGTGACATCCTTTTCTAAAATCAGGCTTAAAAGAAAGTCCACCTGATGGTGATATTTTAGTTAAAGCAAACTTTCCTGGATCTTTTTCTGTCCTCCTAGGAGCTTTGGGTACTCCCACTCACTTTAAAGTGGACCTACAATGCCAAACATAGTCTGCTTTTTTGCAGGCCCCTGTCCCTCAAATGGCTATCTAGAACAGCGACCCTCCTGCTGAGGCTTTAATCTCTGCCATATTGTGCCCCACTCAATGCCAGAGGCCTCCACATGACATTCCCGGATGTTGACCTTTACAGTATGTCCCTAAAGAAGGAATGCCCTCACAATAAGGTTGCTGCACATTACTGGAGATACTTGGAAAAAGGCACAACAGTCACATGACATTGACACACTATCTGGGGTCACTTGATAGTGCATAGCCAATCACATTTTGTGGACCGTCTACTCACTAGAATGGGATCTCTGTAGAAACCTCCTCCATAGGTACATCTCTGCCAGGACCTGCCAGGGAACTGTTGGCCTGGTCTAAAAAACCTTTTGCAACCCACCCTAGCCCTCACCTTCATAAGGGTGCACTAGGGCTCCTCCCAACCTATCTTATATCTGAGACCTGACTCACCCATGACAGTGCTTAGGAGGGTTCTAACTAAAAGGGGCCTAGCACCTGATGACACTATCTTCTGTAATTAGACATTATTCTGGAACAGAACCACCTAATGGCAGATTAGCTAACTGCACCTGCTTACAAACAGATCTGCCAGAAAAGAAAATTGATTTACCTTAACCTTTGCCTCCAACACTTCTGATGTCAATATGCCTCACTGCTGCCCCTGGTATAGCTGGGTGGTTGAAATTGAGCTCCTAGCTCTGCAGCTGCAGTGACATCACCCATGCCTCCTGGAAGTGTTGGAGGACAGGGCCAAGATAAATATTTTTTTACCAGGCAAACTGTTTTTTGAAGCCAGGGAAGGCAGGGAGGGCCTTGAAAATAAAAGAGGACCTTCTGTTTTTCAAGCAATGTCCACTTTAACATGTTCCTTTTGTATTCCCATTAATATAAAATCATTAAAGATATTTAAAAGAGAGAGTTGGACCACCTTATAATGCCCATAGTAGATAAGTAGACGTAATAACTCAAGTGCACAGATACCACCACTGGTGTCTCTTACCTAATGCAAGATATGACTTAACACTCAAATATCTAACAAAATTTAAAAATTTCAGTTTTGTGTACTTGCTTGATCTGATCAGAAGATGATACAAAACATTTTGGCTAGATATATACCTTAACCCTCCTGTCCACTAGTAGGAAGAAACTGTATTCATTTCTTCCCTAATCAAAGATATTTGGGCACACATATAAAACTGCTGGCACTAAAGGGGTTCTTCATCTCCAGCAGGGAGAAACAGCACTTGACTGAGATGCTGATTTTTTTTTTTTGGGGGGGGGGGGTTCTTTTTTTCACATCTAAGCACTTTAATGGTGTATTTTATCAGTTCGGCCTCGCTGCCTCTTGCCACCCAGTTAATGCCATAATCTCCTGTATATCATACGTTCTGCAACTTTTAAACTAAAAGAAAAGGTGAAAAAGGATGCTGCCTAATCCCTGACATATAAAGTATACTGGGCAGCTAAAACGACTTTACTCCAAAGCCAAGCCTGGCAATAGCATTTGGTTCAATACATATTTCAAGTTAAAGAAATGACTTTGAAAACCTTATGGTTCCAGCTTCAAATGCTGTTATTTCCTAATGTCAGGGGCTTTGAAAAGACTCCATTAAAATGTTCTTTCCTCGCAATTGCCACAAAGCTTTATAGACTGGCTGCACCGTAGATATTTATTTTATTGTAAATTGAACAAGGTAACAGATGTACATGTTTCTTATAATAAAAATAATACATCAGAAATGTGTTAATCAAAATTCCTCCGTTTTATTGAGGTTTACTACGTAAATTAAAATACAGTCTTACTAACAAAGGGAGCATAAGGAATAGTCAAGATTGAAGTATACGCTGGTATGCAGCTTTGCAAGACTCTAATGCATCCGGCCTGTTCCAAACAAGAGAAAATACAATTATATGATTCAAGGTTCTTTCCCTTTCTATTTTAAATTCACTTGAATAAATCCATTTTTACCAGATGCTTTTGAAGCCAATTTGACTTGGTCTAATTGATGCTATTTGTTTACAAATACACGTAAAGACAATAAATATCACAAGCAACATCTGTCTCCTGAATACATCATCTGCATATATTCTCGAGATATAGATAAAAATCTTTTGTATCCTCCACCAAAATTTTACATTTGCTTAATGGTTCTGCTTATCATTTCTAACGGCTTAGACCAACTGTGTGAGAATGTGTTTTAAAGCAATTTTATTCTTTGTTTTAATTTCTATATTTGGTTAAAGTAAATCTGTATCAAGAGAAACGTACAGGCTGCTATTTCTAATCCTAAAATGCTAGTTGTCTGGCTGTCTCTGGCTTCAATACTTTGAGCCACTAACCTTGAACAATCATGCAGCAACTACAGTCAGATTGCAGTCAGAAGGGCCAAGTAGTGGAGGAGCTTACCACTAAGCAATGCTTCTTTACATAGAGAAATGTGAAGGGGGCAGAAAAGAGTGGTCAAGCTTTGACATTATGAGGAACTGCTGGGTATCTTTGCTATCAGAATGACTTAAAGCAAAGTTCCACCCAAAAGGGGAATGTCAGGAATGGACTGGCCAGCAATAGTGGGACTCACCTGCCTTATGAGCTGCAGTACCAGGGCTGGCCAGCGGGTGCTCCCAGCAATCAGAGACTCAACTTTGCAGCCAATCAAACACCTGAACTAATTATACTGGTGTATTTAAGGGATGGCCAGACCTGCAGACTCTGCCTTGGTGTGTGTTTTTCCTGGGCCCTGTATCTTGTAAACCTGCGTTCCTGTTCCTGTTCCTGTCTTGTTGCTGACCCTGCTTGATTCTGACCTCTGCTTACTTCTCCTGTTCTGATCCCTGGCTTGTGACCCTGACCATCCCCTCTGCCTGACCCTCTGTACCACGCTGCCCACTACCTGCTGAACCTGGCCTGTGACCCCGACCATTCTCCGCTTGCTCCCCCTGTACCTACCTGCCCGATTGATATTGACCCGGCCTGCCTGACGACGCTTGCATTGTATGTACTGTTATCTGTGGGTGGTTGGTTTGGTTTGTTTGCACTGTGTTATGTTTTAGTATTGCACTGCGTTTATGTTTGTATTGTTAGTGTTAATAAATTATATTGTTTATAACATATCTGAAGTCTGCGTTTCCCTGCGTCAGTCACATACCTCTGGTCACACCCGGGAGCCCTGACATTACACCAAGGCCAATCCTGACCAGAAGTGGCTGCACAGGGAAGCCATCTTGGTTTGTTGATGGGAAGGATGGATCTTGATGAGGTTGTGTATTTATATCTGCTAGTGTTTGATGACAGAGAGTATGCTTATCAAACTCTGAAGGAGTATCCCCGGGATGAACTGCTAGAATGTATACGGCTCGCTCATGTTCTAGTAGATCAGGGCACAGAATTCTCTGAGGTGCAGCCATTGATTCAGGTTTGTGCGGAGTTGGTTTCATCTGGTACCCCCGAATGCAGGGATGAATTTTTGCCGCCATTTAGTGCCGACCAGGTAGAGTCCCTGGTGTGGTTATTAGAGGATGATGTGGATTGCTTCTTGGAGCATTATGCTGCATGTTCACCACAGACACTAAGAGATTGTATAAACGCAGTGCAGTCTTTGGTCAGACAGGCTTTGTGTAAGCTCAGCTTTGTTCAACCCATACTGCAGACATGGACAGATTTGTTGCACCCAGCCTCAGTCAGCTTACAAAAACCCAGTCCTGCTTCTAATCTATTTCCTCAAAGCTCTATTCCTGCATTCCCAACAGCTCCTCCTGCCCTGCTATCTACCGCATGTCAGTCCCCTGTTCCCACTCGCTGCACCTATCCTGCCTTTAATCCTGTAAAAAAGTCCTCTGTAGCAACTGCTCCCTCCTCTGTTCCATCCTCCAGCTCTTCTCTGTCTCCAGCTGCTCCATTCGTTTGCAGACCTGCGTTTACTTGCAGTGCTCCAGTAGTTAAAACCAGAAAAAAGCGAAAATTCTTTCCAACCAGTACCATCCTGCCAGTATCCAAACCGGTGAGCCTGCCGTCTGAGAACCTGCCTTCCGTGGTTCAGCCTGGTGCCTCGGCATCCGCACTTCAGCCTGATGCCTCTCTTCAGCCTGATGCCTCTCTTCAGCCTGAAGCATCTACTCAGCCTGAAGCCTCTACTCAGCCTGAAGCCTCTACTCAGCCTGAAGCCTCTACCCAGCATAATGAACTGATCCAGCCTGATGATCCTATTAGGCCAGTTGACTCGATGCCCGCTGTTGATCCAGATGATCCGGTACCTGATCCGGTGCCCGCTGTCGTGCCAATTGACTCAGAGCCCGCTGTCGTACCTGGTGACTCGGTGCCCACTGCCTTGCCAGATGACGCGGTGCCCGCTGGCAAGCCAAATGACCTGATGCCTGGTGACCCAGTGCCCGCTGTCATACCTGGTGACCCGATGCCCGCTGTCGAGCCAGACGATCCAATGCCAGACGACTCGGTGCCCACAGTCTTGCCAGACCACTCGGTGCCCGCAGTCTTGCCAGACGACTCGGTGCCCGCAGTCTTGCCAGACGACTCGGTGCCCGCTGTTCCGCCAGTTGACTCGATGCCCGCTGTTCCGCCAGGTGACTCGGTGCCTGCAGTCTTGCCAGACGACTCGGTGCCCGCTGTTCCGCCAGTTGACTCGGTGCCCGCTGTTCCGTCAGACGACTCGGTGCCCGCAGTCTTGCCAGACGACTCGGTGCCCGCAGTCTTGCCAGACGACTCAGTGCCCGCAGTCTTGCCAGATGACTCGGTGCCCGCAGTCTTGCCAGACGACTCGAAGCCCGCTGTTCCGCCAGTTGACTCGATGCCCGCTGTTCCGCCAGTTGACTCTGTGCCCGCAGTCTTGCCAGACGACTCGGTGCCCGCAGTCTTGCCAGACGACTCGGTGCCCGCAGTCTTGCCAGACGACTCGGTGCCCGCAGTCTTGCCAGACGACTCGAAGCCCGCTGTCCGCCAGTTGGCTCGGTGCACGCAGTCTTGCCAGTTGGCTCGGTGCCCGCAGTCTTGCCAGTTGACTCGGTGCCCGCACTGTCGTGCCTGTTGACTCGGTGCCCGCTGTCGTGCCTGGTGACCGGTGCCCTGCCGCTCCGCCTGGGGGCCCGAGACCTGTCGCCCCTCCTGGGGGCCCGATGCCTGTCGCCCCGCCGGGAGGCCCGGTGCCTGTCGCCCCACCTGGGGCCCCGATGCCTGTCGCCCCGCCTGGGGGCCCGATGCCTGTCGCCCCGCCTGGGGGCCCGGTGCCTGCTGCTCCGCCTGGTGGCCCACTGCCTGCTGCTCCGCCTGGTGGCCCGCTGCCTGCTGCTCCGCCTGGTGGCCCGGTGCCTGCTGCTCCGCCCGGGGGCCCGGTGCCTGCTGCTCCCCCGGTGGCCCGGTGCCTGCTGCTCCGCCCGGTGGCCCGGTGCCTGCTGCTCCGCCTGGTGGCCCGCTGCCTGCTGCTCCGCCTGGTGGCCCGCTGCCTGCTGCTCCGCCTGGTGGCCCGGTGCCTGCTGCTCCGCCTGGTGGCCCGCTGCCTGCTGCTTCACCTGGTAATCCGATGTGCCTCTGCCCGGAGTCCAGCCCGATGTGCCTCTGCCCGGAGTCCAGCCCGATGTGCCTCTGCCCGGAGTCCAGCCCGATGTGCCTCTGCCCGGAGTCCAGCCCGATGTGCCTCTGCCCGGAGTCCAGCCCGATGTGCCTCTGCCCGGGAGTCCAGCCCGATGTGCCTCTGCCCGGAGTGCCTCTGCCCGGTGTGTGCCGCTGCCCGGAGTCCTGCCCGGAGTGCCAGTCTTTGATATCCCGCCAGTTACCAGACCCGGGCGGTGGAACATTTTGCCCAGCTAGGACTGTTTGGAGCGTCCTGAGGCCGCTCCTTGAGGGGGGGGGGGTACTGTCAGAAATGGACTGGCCAGCAATAGTGGGACTCACCTGCCTTATGAGCTGCAGTACCAGGGCTGGCCAGCGGGTGCTCCCAGCAATCAGAGACTCAACTTTGCAGCCAATCAAACACCTGGAACTAATTATACTGGTGTATTTAAGGGATGGCCAGACCTGCAGACTCTGCCTTGGTGTGTGTTTTTTCTGGGCCCTGTATCTTGTAAACCTGCGTTCCTGTTCCTGTTCCTGTCTTGTTGCTGACCCTGCTTGATTCTGACCTCTGCTTACTTCTCCTGTTCTGATCCCTGGCTTGTGACCCTGACCATCCCTCTGCCTGACCCTCTGTACCACGCTGCCCACTACCTGCTGAACCTGGCCTGTGACCCCGACCATTCTCCGCTTGCTCCCCCTGTACCTACCTGCCCGATTGATATTGACCGGCCTGCCTGACGACGCTTGCATTGTATGTACTGTTATCTGTGGGTGGTTGGTTTGGTTTGTTTGCACTGTGTTATGTTTTAGTATTGCACTGCGTTTATGTTTGTATTGTTAATGTTAATAAATTATATTGTTTATAACATATCTGAAGTCTGCGTTTCCCTGCGTCAGTCACATACCTCTGGTCACACCCGGGAGCCCTGACAGGGAAGTACAGCTTTAAGGACTGCTCCCCCCGCTCCCCATTAAGGAATGGCACCTTTGGGGGGTGAGGGGGAAGCGGGTACCCAAATTTGAAAGGTACCCGCTCCCACTTTCGATCCGATCGCCTCCCTGTAGTCTTTTGGGACACGTGACAGGCCCCGGAAGACTACAGGACCATTCATGAAGCGCAGCGCTACTCGCGCATGTGCAGTGGGTACCCGACTGTGAAGCCACAAGCTGTCACAGCCAGGTGCTCACACTGAAGATGCCAGCCTCCTGGAATACAGGACGGCCGAAAGGGGCTGTGGGGAACACACCACAGGACTGAGGGACAGGTAAGTGGCTGTTTTTTAAAAGTCAGGCAGCTACAGTTTTTGTAGCTGCTGACTTTTATTTTTTGACAGGGTGAGGTGTAAACCCTCACCTTGTAAAACAACCCAGTCAGTTTAAAATAGCAAAACATTTATGTGTAGATATAAAAAAAAATTGAAAATAACTTTTTCCCCTTTTTTTTATAAGTGATCGCATACCCTCTGCTGTCAGCTGCATAAGAGCTAGCGGAGGTGAAACAGCAGGACACTGATCATCCCAGTGAATGGCTGTGTGTTTATGATGGGGGTGCAAGACAAGTCTGATCATTGGAGGAAAGCAGTCTGAGTTCCCACTATAGCTAGAGAACTCACCACACTGTGCACTCATGCCTAGTGTAGTCAGTTTTTAATAGGAAAGCCTAGGGACTGTCAGGAACAACAGGTATTTCACACAAAGGAAACAATGTAAAGAGAATAGGATATTTTTTGCATACAAGTACATGATACAACAGTGGGCAGTACAGTGGCTAAGTGGTTAGCACTTCCACCTGTCAGTTTGGGTCGTCAGTTTGAATCCCAACCATGACATTACCTGCATGGAGTTTTCATGTTTTTCCTGTGATTGTGAGGGTTTCCTCCGGGTACTCCAGTTTCCTTCCACACTTAAGACAAGTTGGTAGGTTAACTGGTTCCTGTCTAAATAGACCCCAATATGCGTATGTATGAATGTGAGTTAGGGACGTTAGACTGTATGCTCCTTCAGGATTAGGGACTCATGTGAATGTACAATATATGTAAAGCGCTGCGTAAATTGACGGCGCTATATATGCACCTGAAATAAATAATAAATAAATGCAACAGGCACATATCAGAAGTATGCAATGTCGGGTTTACTCTTTAACATTTGTTTCTATATGCAGGAATTTTAGCTGTGTTTCTAGAGACCTTGCCTTTAAAGTAGATCTGATACTGTAAGAAAACAGTTGCAGTACCTAAAAGTAAGTTCTCTAAAAAGTAATATATCCATTGCTGGTAGAAGAATGGAGCAAACTATGGTAGAAGGACAGAGCAGGGAGCAAACTGGAGATCCTATGATGGAGGAATGGAGAAAATTCCAGACCTACCCATGTTTTTTTTTGCATGGCACAACAAATAAAAAAACTGCTTTATGGGCATGTAAAGCAAGATTTTTGTGACTTCTTTATTATGGAATATTGCTGGAGCTATACTCTGTCTGAGCGCTGCATAGACACCAGAATGTCAAAGGCAGTGATCCATATGATTTCTGACATTGGTCATGATCCACAATACGCCAGCATACATGTGCAATTTCCCCTAAGCACTGGAGGCTCACAATTGTCCCCAGTGTTTTGAACTGAAACTCATCATGAAGATGGCAAAGCTGACAACTAGTCTGCATGATCAGCACACAAATTCCATTACAACATGGTGTACCTGGATCAAATTCTCTAATTACTTATGTCCAGGGGCGGACTGACCATTCGAGCACTCGGGCACTGCCCGAGGGCCCGGGGTCAGTAGGGGGCCCCATGAAATGCCTCTGGTACCTTTTATAGGCTTTTTTTGAGTATGGGCAAGGACACAGGGGCCCCATGATCCCCTATTGCCTGGGGGCCCCATGAGTTGTCAGTCCACCCCTGCTTATGTCCAAACTCTTATATGTCCTAACACTAGTGCATCTTAATGCTGGTGAATATGCTCTACTCTAGCTAGACTTCACCATTGCTTTTCACCTTCGCCTTTCCCCACTGTCTGTATGTTAGCCCTTTGGTTTCAGTGTAGTGGTGAGAGTGTTGTTCTCTCCTAGGATAGTATTTGTCATGGTTGGGGTTGATTTACTAAAACTGGAGAGTGAAAAATCTGGTACAGCTCCACATAGAAACCAATCAGCTTCCAGGTTTTATTGTCAAAGCTTAATTGAACAAGCTGAAGTTAGAAGCTGATTGGCTACCATGCACAGCTGCACCAGATTTTGCACCCTCCAGTTTTAGTAAATCAACCCCATTGTTTTATCAACTAACATTGTTTTACAATTATTTTTTTCATTTCGAAATATGCCTATCTCTGGAGTTTTGCTGTAACCCTTGCAGGGGGGCACCTCCCCCCCAGCATGCTTTCTGTGCAAGTTTATGTTTCTTTTTTTTGTGCTCTCTGTCTTTACTGGATATCCAGTGAACATCTAGATATGCAGTGATTTGATTTCCTACTCTTGAATTTAGTCGCTCCTCCTTTTCAGCAGGTCATAGGTAAAGAAGAAGTATCACTAGAAATTAAAAAATAAATTTTCAGCACCCCAAGGGACTGAATGCATGGTCCATCTGTGCTGTTAGGAAATAAGAGCATAAATTTATGTATGTTTGTGTTGACTGTAGCTCCAACCTCAGACTGGAGGTGGAAGAAGAAAAAAATCACTCAATTTCCCCACCAATACTGAACAGATCCCACAGAATGTGTTAGGGTGCGGGGAGCCTTCCCTGCTGGCAGCACACAGTAATTACTATTAGCAGCTATAGCCACTGGCAGTAATTGCATATAAAAAAGTCCAACAGGCTGAGTAAATCAACTAGGGTACAATCAGCCTGCCCATACATGGATCAAAATTTGTCTGGCCCCTGCTGAACTGGACTGAATTTCAATCCATGTAGGGCCGGCTTCATGGGCTTTTCTGTGTGGGTAGGTTTAGCCAATACTGGTGCCCTGCCCTATCTTCTCTGTATTGTATGTTTCCTGTTATGAGTA